CCTGCTTGAGGGGATTAGGGAGAGCCGCTTCCATCTGTCGGGCTGCTCAGGCTTTTTCTGTCATTAGAGAACTGCTCAGAGGTGATGGTGTTCTAAACCTTTTAGTGGGAACTTGATTTTCAGAGTAGGAGATCTCAATTAACTTAGATTAGGGACCTGCTGGGCAGAGATCAGGACTAATGATCTGCTTATGTATGCACCATAGTCCCTATCATATTAGTGGTGCTCAGTACATGTTAAATAAGAAAGCAGTTGTTAATCATTTGTAACCTAATAATGACGTCAGCAGGAAACTTGAGTTGATGAGAGTAGAAGTCAAACCTGTGTATGTATGTGTGTGTGTATGTGTGTGTGTGTAACAGACACAGAGATGGAGAGATAGCAATGCAGGAAAGTGTGGGGCTGCCGGCAGTGGTATAACTTCTACCAACTGGTTTAGAATTAGAGCAATGGCAGTTACTCATCATGAGTTTTTTGCTGGGCACAGTGGTTTAATATGATTCCATTTCTTAACGCAGTTTTATCTGTTTATAACTAATCATTATCATCGTTATGCAACTTGGACCCATTACAGGCCAACAGAGAGTTACCTTGAGCTCTTAATGTTTGGCTTTGCAGTACGTAAGCATTATATACATTTGAACTGATATATACTAATAAGGACTGTGTTACATGCGTAATGTATAAGGCCTTTACATGCAATATATGTGTAAGATTTCTTTAAATAAAAACGGTTTGCTGGTTTAGAACAAATTGGGGAACTTCTGATGTTGGGAAAATTGAAGGGGATGAACATTTACTCAGATTTTTATGGGGGCTTTTGCTTTGCTGTTTTCCAAAAGAAGTAATTGTAGTTGATGTAGGTTAGTGGAATTTAATTGTCTCTGGATATACTTGGAAGGTTCTGTTGTATCCTTTTTCATTACCTATTACTCACCTAGGCAAGGATCTGGCTTCCCACAGTCCCACAAGGAAAGGTTAATAGACTGCTTTGCCTCTGTAAGGTTCTGTCTGGCTCTGTCTGTATTTCTTCAGCTACTTGTGCTGATGGCTTTGTGAGCATGGATCTTCTTGCTGGGCTCATCACTGTCAGCTACCAACTTATTTTCAAGTATTCAAAACTTCAATCAGTGATCATGGGGTAAGGAACCAAAACAATCTTTGTTCTGGACAGAAGTTCAGTGCCATGTTTGCAAATCTCCTCTAATCAGGCTTGGCAGCTCCCCTGAGCACTGTGCCAAATGGCAGTTCTCTCCCAAACTTCTGTGACTACCATCCGTATGTTAGGGTCCTCTTAAGTACCTCTCACAAGAAGAACTACAGTGATACCTCGGTTCTCGAACGCCTTGACTTTCGACCAAATCGGTATTCGACCAGGAGATTCGAGAAACTTTTGTCTTGGAATCCGAACAAATATTTGGAACTCGAACTTCCGAGATGAGCCGAGTTGAGCCGAATGGCGTTCATTCGGCCCAGCGCGCCTTGCTTGCGTCATCAGTGTGAGTGCAGAGAGAGAGTCACGCTTTGTGGAGAGAGTCACGCTTTACACTGAATTTAACCCTTAGACATACTGTACACTTTTATTTCTTGTTGAGACTTATGTTTTTCTACATATTATATACAAATTAGGCCAGTAAATAGGCATTTTCTGGGGCTTGGAACGAATTAATCCAGTTTCCATTATTTCCTATTGGGTTTCATTGCTTCGGTTCTCGAACAATTTGGTTCTCGACCGTCCTCCTGGAATGAATTATGTTCGAGAACCGAGGTATCACTGTAAAAGGCTTTGACTGTTGTGTCAGTTATGAACATTTTGGAAACCTCCTTAAGTATAAAGAGTAATTTCCCCTCTGATAAATACTTTCTAGTAGTCTCTCTTCTAACTACTGTAAAAAAGAATAAAAACCCTCCCCTGCACCTAAAAAGATGTCCAAGATCCTCAGTCAGCAGGAAAGTGTAGATCAAACCACATTGAGATACCACTTCACACCCACTAGAATCGCTATAATAAAAAAAGACAATAACAAATGTTGGCAAGGCTGTGAAGAAATTGGAACCCTCGTACATCGCTGGTGGGAATGTAAAACAGTGTAGTGCTTTAGAAAGCAGTTTGGCAGTTTCTCAAAAAAAGTTAAGCATAGAGTTACCATATAACTCAGCATTTTCACTCCTAGGCATATACTGAAGAGAAATGAAAGTATGTCTACACATAGACTTGTACACAGATGTTCCTAGCAGCATTTACTCTTTTTTTTTTTCTTTATTGAGTTTAGAGAGAGAGGAAGGGAGAGGGAGAGAGAGATAGAAACATCGATGAGAGAGAACATCGATTGGCTGCCTCCTGCATGCCCCCCATTGGGGATTGGCCCCACAACCTGGGCATGTGCCGTGACCAGGAATTGAACCAGCAACCTCTTGGTGCATGGGTCGATGCTCAACCACTGAGCCACACTGGCCAGGCAGCATTTACTCTTAATAACTCAAAGTGGAAGCAATAGCTGATGAATGGATACTTGAAGTGTGGTCTGTCTGAACTATAGAATAGTATTTCAGCATATAAAGAATGAGTACTATTGCCCTGGCCGGTTTGGCTCAGCGCTTAGAGCATCGGCCTGCGGTCCTGAGAGACCCAGGTTCGGTTCCCGCTAAGGGCATGTACCTTGGTTGCAGTTTGTCCCCGGCCCTGGTTGGTCGTGCGGGTGGCAGCCACTCGATGTGTCTCTTTCACGTCGATGTTTCTCTCTCTCTCTCTCTCCCTCTCTCTCCCTCCCACTGTATCTGTGCAAAAAAAAAAAAAGAGTATTGATGTCATAGCAGAGATGAGCCTTGAACACATTATAACAAATGAAAGAAGCAACACACAAAAGACTACCTATAGTATGATTCCAGTTACATAAAATGTTCAGAATAAACAAATCTGCAGAGACAGAAGTAGACTAGTGGTTTCTAGGGGCTGGAATAAGGGGGGAAATGGGGAGTGACTGCTAATGTATATGAGTTTCTTTATGGGGAGTAATGAAAATGTTATGAAATTAGATAGTGGTGATTGATTCATAACTTATTTAAAAATTAGGAATTAATGAATTGTATGCTTTAAGTGTGTGAACTCTATGATATGTGAATTATATCTCAATAAAGCTCTTATTTTTAAAAATCGTCCCCTAGATTCCAATGGGTATTTGGCTTGTAATTTATAATTTCTTATTAACTTGGGGAAATATCTATGTCATGAGTTGAGTTTCATTTGGAAGAATAATTTTGATCTGGCTTTCAGCTTCTAGTCAGAAAGCTCAATATAACACAATTTGCAAAGTAAATACTTGGTCCATGCTAGAAAAAGCGAGGGATTGAGTTAGTAGGCTTTTTACAGCTTTAAGGGAATATAAGAGCAATGGCTTTGTATAGCAGTTGGTCTCCAGGAAGAAAAACACTCTCTTCCTCCTTTTATAGTACTTTACTTACTATCCTAGAGACCAAGTGTGTTTATAATAAGTACCACTAAGCACTAAGTGTGCATGTAAGAACGAGAGTTGTTTCCCTTTGGGAAGAACAGTTTTAGGAAATTAGCATTCCTTTCTAGTTTGACTTGGGGAATTCTCAGTAATTTTTTGAAAGGATTTTAATCTTCATTGGATTTAAATTTACTCACAGACATTAAAAACTGGAGAAAGATTCCATTTGGATTATATCCAAGATGAGTTCCAGGTCTGCTCAGTTCTCATATTGTACAAGTTTATTTCTTGCCCTGGGACAATGACAAATCATTTATAAATACTCACCTTCCTCCTTTCTATCCTTTCCCTCTCTGCTCTGAACATTTGTTTGTAGAATGTTTTGTCCTGATGTCCTAAAAAGGTCAAAGATGAACCCATTCTCAAAGACTACCACATACGTCTTATCACTTGGTAACCAGACTGTGAGTTTCCAGCTTTGTTGCCAGGGTGGGAATTAGGTCTTTGCTGTGGAAAGCATTGCTGTAGTTGATCATTTATTTTCTGAGAGACGCTAGTGGGTTTTGGAGCAGGTGGCATACTGTCACCACCTGCTGATTTACCATACAGAGGGTACCTCTGCTTACTGCTCTAGTCCTACTTCCTCGGGTGGCCTCTCTGCTCTTCACTGCTTAATTTTCCTCTGGGTCTGTCTTTCTTTCTTTCTAGTAACCTGGGCAGGATTTTACTTCTCTCTTTAACTCAGGGTCACATTCAAGGCTCTTAGGTCATACGGGTTCTGGGGTGTCTCCTACATAGTAAACCTACGTCTTTGATCAAGATATCTAGTTTTGTCCAGCCTATGGGGCTCAGTGGATTGAGTGTTGTCCCATGGACTGAGAAATCCTGGTTCCGTAGCTTGTGGGCTTGATCCCCAGTAGGGGGCGTGTAGGGGGCGTGCAGGAGGCAGCCAATCCATGTTTCTCTCTTACATCGATGTTTCTGTTTCTTCCTTCCTCTCTCTCTAAAAAAATCAATAAGAAAAGATATTTAGCTTTGCCAAATTTCAGTTTTTTTCATCTATAATATGGGGCTAATGATAGTATCAGCCTAGAGGACTTGCTAGGGAAAAATGAGATAAGCTATGTCAAGCACTTATCCAACATTTTTTAAGCACTTCATTTGTGCTTTGTGAAGGAGACCAACAAGAAGTTAGTCCTCCATCTCTTGATATTAACCAAATAATCTAAAGGATGCCTTAGTAAGGTGCTTATCTCTGTATGCTGCAGTTTCTTCATCTATACATTGAGGATAACGATAACCTTGCAGAGTTACTATGAGAATTAAATGAGATAATATATACAAAGCACTTAGACCTATACCCAGCATGTGGTAAGCTCTCGGTGAATACCAGTTATTCTTTTTTATTATTATTCTTGTACTTCTAGTGGGAAAAATAAAAAGGTTATGTGGCCACACCGTGGGACTGAGTCATCTGAGTTGGTCATGCCTTGTCCCAAGGTTGGTTTGCACTGCCAGCAACTTGACGTTCTTCTCTTCCTCTTTCAGCTGCACAGTTGGACAGCATCGGCTTCAGCATAATAAGGAAATGCATTCATGCTGTGGAAACCAGAGGTAAAGTAGTTGAACAGATGGCATTGTTCTCAGTGAAGGTCACACATCTGGGGAGGCGTCAGACCTGCTACCTGCTGTTGTCCGATTTTAAGTGACTCATTAAGTCCCCAAGTGCCATTGCCTGTGTGTTTCCACAAGCTGTATTGCTCAGAAGCAGGGGCACTCAGCCAATTTGGTGTCATCGACCTCTTTGATCAGAATAAAGTTTGAAATGTGCACATATCAAATATGTGGGATTAAAAGGAAAACAGTTACTGAAGATGAATTATTAAAATATTAAGGTATACTGTGTGTTGTGGTGTAATAATAGTGTTTCTTTGTTGACACTTTAAATAGCAAGTACAGTGGTGGGTTGATAACTGGCTTAATTCAGAAATAGGGATATTTCAAGGCATCTGTAACAATTGTAATATGTTATGAAAATACCGGTGACTGCTGACCAAGTTGTGCCGGTGCTGCTAATCTGCTGTGATTTGTTGCTTATATTGTTATGGAAGGGAGATGCTTAATTTTCAGTTAGAAGTCAGTGAAAATAAAGTTGTAATTGTGTTGCTGTTCATAGACACTGTGAATTCTGTAGTGGACCTCTTAGGGTCCATGGACCCTAGGTTAAGAACTTGTTCTGGTCGGCCCGTGGATCAGAGAGTCCCAGGTTCAGTTCCCGTTAAGGGCATGTACCTCGGTTGCAGTTTGTCCCCGGCCATGGTTGGGGTCATGTGGGTGGCAACCAGTCGATGTGTCTCTCTCACATCGATGTTTCTCTCTCTCTCTTCCTCCCACTCTATCTGAAGATAAATGCAAAAATGTCCTTGGGTGAGGGGAAAAAAAAAAGAACTTGCTCTGGGGAGCTTGTCGCTGGTTACCATCCAGGCAGGAAGAACTGGTCAGGCCTAGTTTCCTGTGGTGGCACTGTGGTCAGGCCCTGCCTATTGCACATAGACCTTTCCTGAGTCCATAGGAACATGGCTTTAAGATCAGGGAAGTGGTTTCATCCCAAAGACCTCCGTCCCCTCCTCCAAGATTGCCACAAAGGCGATTCTTCAGTTCTGACAGTTGTCCCCTTAGAAAAGGTGATACCTATCTTTCCAGTGGATTTGATATGAACTATTGTTAAAGATGTAAATCTTATTCTACAGCCTCTCAACTCACCAGCCCTTTGTTGTTGTTGTTTGGAAGAAATTCTGTCTTTTAAAGCAGTATCCATAACTCTTACCAGTTGAGAAATAGAGGCATCTTTATAAAGACTATAAAGTTTTGAGTAGAGGGGGAGGAAAAAAAATAACCTATAAGCCTCTACTCCTGTGTATCCAGACAAAAAGTATTCTTTTTAACGCAGTTATTTTAATGTGTACTAACATTTTTAAATGTTTCCTTATTTCTACTATACCTTTCTTCAATAAAGAGTTAGGTAGTTTACAAAGATAATGTAAAATATAACCAGAGAATATAAAGTAGAAGTAGGTGACAGTTCTGGGAATGGATCTTGAGGAAATAAATACTTGGTTCAGGTTGTTATATAGCTGTTTACAGAAAGGTGTTATTAAGGTGAAAACTCAGAAACTGGCCAAATGTCTCAAAAATCTATATAATAGCTAAGTTCTGGAAACAGCCCAAGTGTCCATCAGTAGATGAGTGGATAAAAAAGCTGTGGTACATTTACACAATGGAACACTATGCAGTTGTAAAAAAGAAGGGCCTCTTACTCTTTGAGACAGTAAGGAGGGACCTGGAGAGTATTATGCTAAGTGAAATAAGCCAGGCAGAGAAAGACACATGATCTTACTTATATGTGGACTCTAGTGAACAGAATAAGCTGATGAGTAAAATAGATCTAGAGACATGGAAGTAGGGAACAGACTGAGGAATCTCAGAGGGAAGGGGGTGGGTGGGTGGGAAGAGATTAACCAGAGATCTTAAGGAATGTATATGCATGTCTGCATAACCCATGGACAAGGACAATAGTGTAGTGAAGGCCTGGGGGAGAGGAGGGTCAGTGGAGGGAAAAGTGGGGATAGCTGTAATACTTTTTAACAATAAAGATTAAAAAAAGATGCACATACAAACTAAAAAAATAAATAAATCAGTTAAATCAACAGTGGTATATCCATTCTGTAAAAAACTCTGAATCATTAAAAATGCAGTGGAAATACATTTATTGACACCCACGATTTTCATTATATATAGTTAGTGAAAAATGCAAGTTATAAAACAGCCTGCCAAGCACGAACCCATTCTGGGGCTGGTGGGGAGAAGGAAATTCGTACCTGCGCAGGTACCATTGCGTTGTCAGTGCATCTCTGCCGCTTTTACCATCTTCCTTTGACTTATCTATTTCCATAACTGCAGTTTCAAAACTTTTAAAAGTAGGTATAGCTAAGGTAATTTTCAACAGGCATTTTTAAATGCTTTTTATTTTAAAATAAAAGAATGAGCTGTAAGAGATACAGGCTTACCAAAAGTAGAGTCATAAAAGCAGAGCCAAAAGTGAGTTCAAAACAAAACTCCCCTCCCCTCCATCCCCCCAGGCCCTTCAGATACTTGCCTGAGGTGGGCCACCTGTCTGCCACTCAGTTTTCAGCAGCCAGAACAAAGAGAGAAACCTAATCATTTGAAACCCTTCACACAGTCTGTGCGATAAATGCAAATCAAGAGCTCAGGAGGCAACTTTTTCTGATGTAAAGCCAAAAAGTATACAGGATAAGTGGTAAGGAAGAGAAGGGCCACCAGCTGGTTTGGTCTCGTAGCTTCTTCCTCCAAAAATGATGTTTTAACTTCTGAGGAAGTTTTCATTTAGCACCAAGAGGACATAAGGACAGTGTGAGTTAAATGTCATTTTTACATAAATACATGAAAGGAGTGGTCGTTTCCATACTGCAGTGCATGTATGTATACACATATTTGTGGCGAACAGAGGTGACCAGACCTCCCATGTTCCCTGGGGTTCATTCATCATTGTCCAATGGGAGCTGGGATTGTGTCAAGTTCCAGGAAAGCACAAGGACAAAAGAAAGAGATAACACTTCAGGAAGGACAAGACTTTCAGGCCACCATGTCACTGGTTCTGCTACTGAGGAATGTGAGGCCCATTTCTTCATTTGACCAGGGTCTCCTAGCCCATGAACATGCTGGGTGATACCATGTTTTTATGTCTATTTTAGCTGTAAAGCCCCCCATTCCAGACCACTTGCTTTTATTCATGAGTTCCATATCTATGGAGGTCTTGTACTATTAGCTTTTCCCCAAATTTCATCCAGGAAGTTTTGCTTTGGCTTCAGAGTAGTGGCTGTGATGCAGTATAACTCACCATTTTATTCATTCATTCTATCATGTATCATATACTGATCTGGATGTTGGAGATATAAGGGTGAGGAAGGCAGAATCACTGTACTGTGAGTTTGCATTGTAGTTGTGGGGAGAAAGACAGACAAGAAACCAAATAAGAAAGATAATTTTAGTTATTATTAAGTGCCATAAAGAAAAGAAAACAGCCAGGTACTGGCCAATAGTGTTGGGCATGGGATGCATTAGATTAAAGAGGTTGTGTTTGAGCTGAGACCTGAACGATGAAACGATCTGGGAAAGGGGGGTTCCAGGTGGAAGAGGTCCTGTGCAAAGGCTGTGATTGGGGGCCTGAGCTTGATATCTTGGAGCAACAGGAAGGCCAGTGTGGCTGGAGCGAAGTGGCGTGGTTGATGATATGGTCAGAGGGAGGCCTGTGCTCAGTCGTGTGGACCTGGTAGGCACAGGAAGGTTTGACTGTGATCTAAATGCAGTGGGAAGCCACTGGAAGGTTTTAAGAAAAGAGATGGATTGAACTGATTTGCACTTTGAAAAGTTCACTTTGGCTAGTGGTTGAGAAATGGACATCAGGGGAATAAGATAGGAAGCAGGAAACCAGTTAGTTGAGAGGTATCAGATATGATGGGCCTAGGATTCACGAAAGAGAAGTCATTTTATGTCACTTGGTCTGAATTGTTCCCTTTCGTAAATGATACGTGATCTCATCCTTGTCCTTAAATGAACAAAGTACTGACGTGAGTTAGATTTTGGTTTTTTGGGTATTTGAAGGTAATTGCCTTCTAGTCTAGTTGCATATTTCCTTGGGTTGAATGAAGGTGGTCCTTCTTTTTCTTTATAATGAATATTTAGATGGCAAATGAATGGATTTTCTAATTTCTCAGTCTTGATGAACATTCTACAAAATTAAAAAATATCCTTACACCTCTATATTTTCATTCTTTGTGTGAAAATAAATTGTGAAGGGTTTATCCTTTTCTGTACTATGAATTTTTTTGTCATGTCATTTTTGGATTTTTAAATTTAAAAATTGGTTAACTAGGATATATTTAAAAGTATGTATTTTGTATCTTCCAAAACTCTTCAGATGTTGCCTTTGGCAAGGGAAGAGGGAGGTTCCTATCCCCTCTAATGACTAACCTAACATGAGGGCTGAAGTATGCAGCACATCTGTGAAACCCTAGACAGCGTACCAGTCTCCCTTCTTCACTAAGAGCAGAGCTGAGTGACACGGGACTTTAATTAAAGCGGCTTTTAGAAGGACTGAGAAAATGAAAACAGTGCCTTTGGCTGGGTTGGCTTGACTTGTGTTTTGATGTAGCTCTAATTAAATCATCACTGTTTCTCTTTTCAGGGATCAATGAACAAGGGCTCTACCGAATCGTGGGGGTCAATTCCAGAGTGCAGAAGCTGTTGAGCGTCCTGATGGGTGAGTGCGGCACTGCCTATGCCAGGCAGGCCCCAGGGGGCATGGAGCGGGCACCTCTGAAAAGTCACCAGGTCTGTAAATATGGACACCCCATAGGGAAGGAATCAGAGGGTTCCAAGAGGTAATTCCCAGAAATAAGCTTCCTCACTCCCTTGTGGTCATGGCTGCGGGAATCATTGGAAGAGGTACTGCGCGGGACTGGACAAAACAAAAAATGGCAGGTCCAAGGCACCACACCCTCTCTGTTTGAGGACTTGGCCACTGCCTGTTCCAGTGGCACTAGGTCACTCATGTGACCACCACACCCTACTCTCTCCTTAATAGCTCCTGACTCCCTCTGTCCGCTTTGGAGACAGGCATTTAATGGGGCACACCCCTGTCTGTGTCTCATGTTCGGGTTTCATATTCCCTGTTAAAGAGAAGGGCTCACATCACTCCCAGATAAAATGTTGTTTATTATTATTATCATTATTATAATTTTTTTAAATCCTCAGCCGAGGATATTTTTCCATTGATTTTTTTAGATAGAGTGGGAGGGGGGAAGGGAGAGAGTAAGAGAGAGAGAGACTTAGAGAGAGGGAGAGACATCAATGTGAAAGAGACACACCCATTGGTTGCCTCCCACATGACCCCGACTGGGCCGGGGATTGAGCCTGCAACCCAGGTAGGTGCCCTTGACTGGGAATCGAACCCAAGACTCTTTGGTCTGCAGGCCAATGCTCTAACTGCAGAGCCAAACCGGCCAGGGCTCTCCCAAGAAAAAATGTATATAAGCAGATAATTCTTCTGATTCTCTTTGCTTCTAGATTTCAGCTGAGTCTCTCATTTGAGCAGCAGAACCTCTTTGCAGCTGGCTGATAGAAATATAAAGCTAGTATCTCTGAATGTGCAATGTTCAAATCAAAAACCCATGAGCCAATGAGCCAAATTTTCCTAGGCTGCAGATTTCCTGTATTTTTAGATATGAATGCAACCAGCCTCAGTGAGTCACATGGCTCTAAATGGCAAACAGATCAGATTTCACCCATCAGTGGCTGTTACTCATCCCCATGGAAGCCCAGCCACACACTTGTAGAGATGGACTGTTGCTTAGGGTCCCTGCTCAGTGTTCTGGGCAGGGGCACTTCCTCTTGTTAGTATTTGTCATTTCTTTTTGCCATTCCAGTTTCTGAAAATGGTTTTTATATGTAAAGAATTCTCCTCTCTCATGTTGATGAGAACAGCTCTCTACCTCTTTTCGAGAGAGCTCCTTGCTTCTGTAGGCAAAACTCGACTGTATTGCTAGTCCCAGTGAGATCTTTTGTTTGAAAATATGATTATTTTTAAGGCACTTTTTGGGACTATATGTTTGATTCAGATTTAGGATATGGTTAGTTTTTTAAAAATTAACTTTTTATTTTGCAGTAATTATACACTCACATGCAGTTGTAAGAAATAATATAGAGAAATCCTGTGTTCCTTCAAGGGCTGTAGGGCAGTATCACAACCAGGATATTGATGCAGGTGAGATGCAGAACAGTTCCATCACACAAGGAGCCCTTGCCATGCCCTTTTATGGCTATACCCATCTGCTCCACTCCTCATCTCACCCTCATTCTTTTTTTTTTTTTTGTACAGATAGAGTGGGAGGGAGAGAGAGGAAGGGAGAGACAGACAGAAACATCAACATGAAGGGACACATCGAGTGGCTGCCACCCGCATGACCAACCAGGGCCGGGGACAAACTGCAACCGAAGTACGTGCCCTTATCGGGAACCGAACCCGGGTCTCTCCGGACCGCAGGCCGACGCTCTAACCGCTGAGCCAAACTGGCCAGGGCTCACCCTCATTCTTAACACCTGCTGACCACTGATCTGCTCTCCATTTCTGTAGTTTTGTCATTTCAAGATTATCATATAAATGGAAACATATAATATGTAATCTCTTGGGATTGGTTTTCTTTCAATCAGCATAATTCCCTTCAGATTTATATCGGTAGTTGTTTATTTTTTTATTTTTTATTGCTGACTAGTATTCTATTATATAGATACACTACAGTTTGTTTAATCATTCACTTGATGAAGGACATCTGGGTTGTTTCCAGGCTGGGGAAATTACAAATAACGCTGCTATAAACATTTGTGTACAGGTTTGTATATGAACATTAATTTGTTTCAATGGGATAAATGTCCAAGAATGCAATTGATGGATTGTGTGGTGATATGGTTAATTTTTGAAAAGTTCTAGTGTAAGGAAGAATTAGGAGTCCAACAGGCTTCAGTCTTCAGTCCTTCGTTCCTGATCAGTGCTGCAAACATCTGTGGAGTGTCTGCTCTCTGAAGCAGATTGTCAGGTGCTAGAGATGAAACTTTAGAAAGAGTTTTTTCTTGTCTGCAGAGTGTCCAGTAGAAGGGGATATGCATGCAAATGAAGGCTGCAATGTGAAATATGACCCTGGGGCCCAATCTGAGCTGGGTCTGGAAGACTAATGAGAACAGAAGAATAGTTCAGTTTCAGGAAGTATGAGCAATGGCATGGGAGCAGAAATCAGGGCCTGTGGTGTCCATAGCAGAGAGTACTGATCTTATTATTATTTATTATTTGAAAGTACTCAAGGCTGGGACAGGAGAATTAAAGCTGAAATGCTGAGGTGGCCCCTTTTGCTGACGAACTTGAATATTGTGCTAAGGAGTTTGGTTTTTCTTTTTCTGTGGGAAGTAAGATGCTATTAAAAGTTTCTAAGTAGTGGAGTTATGTGTGTTAGGACTCTACTACAAAAGTGTCAAGAGGGCATTTCAGAATAGTTTAAAGGAAAAATAAAAGTTATTTGCTCACATAACTGGTAAGGCCAAGATGGCAGAGTCTGGTGGCTCCAGTGACATCTTTACATTTGTGGGAGCCTTTCCCACTCATTTCTCTGGCTTTTCATTATCCGTGACCTCTGCTTGTCTTGATATTGGCTACATTCTTCATTGGAATGTCCCAGATAGTCCAGTCTCAGTGGTCCCTGGAGCTTGCATCACTGAGAAGAGAGTGTCTTTCTTGACAGTTTTGGCAGAATGTCCCAGGATGGACTTTGATTGATCAGTATAGGGCCATTCATGTGATCCATTTCACAATCTCAGGCCAATTACATGGCCTACAGCAGATGGATCCAGACGCCTGGACCCTGTGTCTGTCTCTGGTGATCCTGAGCTACCTCTGTGAGGGTGGTGCAGGAGTAGGGTGGGTAGTGGGGTCTGTCCACAGGACTTTGTGGACTGATCAGGATTATTAGCAGAATGATGGAGGTGTGCTTTCCTGGAATGGCTGCTGGGTGAGAACAAAAGTATGTTTGACACAGGTCTTAACCAGGTCAGGTGCTAGTTTGAGGAGGATAACACTGGCATCAATGTGGAACGTGCATTTGATCGTGGAAAGACATGGAGGAAGAAGACCATTGCAACAGATTAGGCACAGCATGCCTTATCAGGGGCTAGACCAAGTAGCCACTCTGAGGTCAGGAAAAAAGGACAGGTTGAAAATGATTGAAGAGAGAGAGAATCAACAGGATTTTGTAACCAGCTGGATACTGGGGAGCAGAAGGGGTTGAGAGATTTCAAAGATGACAGATTTTTCTGTAAGGCAACACTAATGAAAAGAAATATGACATTTTAGTTGGGTTTGCTAATCTGAAAAAGAAGCACCTTAGCTCAATTGTGCTAAGCAGAATGGCAGGACAAGATCTTGTTTTTGTCACTTCTCTTTGTGGCCCTTGAACAAGATATGTGTTGTTTTCTTCCTCAGTTTTCCTAGGGACAGACAAAATGATCATGAACATCTGAGAAATGTCATGAAAAACTAATAACTATCAGCTGAAAGTCACAAGACCAGCTGCTTCTGCCAGGAGGACATTGTGGATAGACTAGAATCCAAACTGAGGTTCAACCAGAGCTGAGAAATGAACACAGTGCAAGATCTAATCAAAAGGGGAATACAAAAATAATACAGAATGTAAACAGTAATTGAAAGATAAATGTAAAAAAAAATCAAGTGGAGCCCTGGGCCGGGTGAGTCAGTTGGTTGGAGCATCATCCTGTACATCAGAAAAGGTTGTAGGTTCGATTCCCACGCAGGGCACATGCCTAGGTTACGGATTTGATCCCCCATTGAGATGCATGTAGGACGCAACCAATCAGTGCTTCTCTTTCACTTTGATGTTTCTCTCCCCCGCCCCCTCTCTAAAATCAATAAAAACGTATCCGTGGGTGAGGTTTGAAAAAAACACATGAACAAGTAAATGGAGAATGGTATCTTACTACCAGTTACATAAAACAGCGTGTGGATCTTAGACTTAAGAAATCACCCATTAGGCCAGGGAGACTCCAGGCCTTAAGGTCAAGCCCATCTCCCTTTTCCTCTGTGAACATGCTCTCATCTTCATCTGTTCTTGGCACTGGTACTAGAGTGGGTTAGCCTAGAGTATAATAAAAATATGGCTCCTAGCCCTGGCCAGTGTGGCTCAGCGGTTAGAGCATCAGCTCGCGGACCAAAGAGTCACGGTTTCGATTCCAGGCAAGGGCACATACCTTAGTTGCGGTTAGTCCCCAGCCCTGGTCAGGCTGTGCAGGAGGCAACCAATCGATGTGTCCCTATTACATTGATGTTCCTCTCTCTCTCTTCCTCCCTCCCACTCTGTCTAAAGATATTTGAAAATATATCCTCAGGTGAGGATTAAAATATATATATATATATATATATATACACACACACACACACATATATATACACACACATATATATTTATATATAAAATTTATGTATTTATATATATTTTATTTATAAAATATATGTGTGTGTGTGTGTGTGTGTGTGTGTGTATTTCATTCTAGAACTTCCCCATGGGGGCAGGACAGCAGAGGTTAAGAACATGCATTTTGGAGTTAGTTAGGCAAATTGCAGTTCCACTGCCTATCTATTTGATTTTACATGAGTTATTTAAACCTATCTGGTCTTCTATCTCGTCATCTGTAATAATAGCC